TCCCGAAAATCGGACTGTCGGAATGTTTTCCTTTTTTGTGATTTTAATTAATTTTGATTTTTTTTCTAGATTTGTCGTCAAATATTTCTTTGTGGTCATGTCGGCGTTGATAGTAATAGGAATTATCAATGGCTTGATACTGCTGCCAGTATTGCTGTCACTAGTGGGAGCACCTCAAGAGGTAAAACCTTCAGTCACTTCATTTTTTCTTTCAGGAGACCTTTATTCCGATGGTTATCCTGGACGATAAGTGTTGCATGAGGTCGCGTTCATACTTCGCCACTCAGAGTGTTAGTTCGCGCTATTAAGAAACGGCTGAGACAGAGCCCGTTGGTAGCAATTAAAATACACTGAAAAGGGAGACGGACAAGAGAATCGTAGATTGTCACCTCGTCGCGCGCGGCCATGCGTGGCAGGTTCTCAATGTACAGATTTGGCGATTGTACCACTAAACTCATAGGGATGGAAGACTCCATGCGGGCGAGATCGAGTTTTCTCATCCTTCCAACGCGCTTAGTCGAAGAGCGGGGCAGCACAACTCGTCCACGGAACGCGACGTCGCTAGCCACGCCCACCAGTGTCACTGTCTTGTCACATAGTCTTCGGAAAATATTCGATGGATTCGCTCAGTTGACCGTTGCTTTAGTCTAGCGATTGGTGGTCAAGGTAGACAATCAGGACAATTAATTTGTCGCTCCGTCGCGCGCGGCGTTTTCTTGGTTTGCCTCAAACTGTCGACCAGAGCCCTTGACTCCACACAGGCTGCTACATTGTAGACATATTGTGGTTATTTCTGGTTATCATTGTCTGTAGTCGTCATCTACGACCTAGAAACAGTGGCAGTTGCGCGCATGACGCTGTAGACATTCCTCTTCACATACCGGAATACGCCATCTACCGCTTCGCCCAGTGGAAGGTGTCCCGCAGAAAACTTCCTCGGGACGCCTTCGCAACACACTGGATCTGCTGAAGCCGGACAACAAGCATGAACTTGTCGACTTGAAACCAGTTCAACCGTCAATACGGAGCTAAACCCAGGAACAACGGAAATCAGACCTGAAAGAGCATGGTCTACTCGCTACAACAGAGCCGGACAACCCAAATGGACTCAAGAATGGATCCTATGCCGACGTGGACGCACTCTCTACGACGTTCAAGTTGATGGACTCAGACGCCACGCTAACCAGCTCCTCCCACGTGCACGGCACTTGACTGAAGCAATCCAATTGCGGCGACGAACTCCGATTGTCTTTTCACTACCTCAGCCGGATAGTGGTGGGACGCCCGGGGCGGATTCTATCGTCGGCAAGTCATGGGTCACTTCCGCGGCACACGCCCTCCGCGCGTTAGGCGCGGCAGCGCGGTGCAGCCAATTCTATGAGTTGCGTTACAAGTGAGTCTCGAAGACCGCGTATTCACAAGTTCCGAAAAGCCCAAAATTGGATCAGTAATTTTGAACAAATAACGTGGGACCAGTCTTACACCCCTTTACTTTTGAATGCGGAAAAAACAATCATTGATCATCATAGGAAAATGGGACAAGCAGTACAGGATTAACATAAACAATATGGCTTGATGATCATTTTAACAATTTCAACGAGCACGACGCAGCAGGACTCGTACGCGGCGCCCACCAGCGCGGCGACCTACTTATCATCGACGATAGAATCGCCACACACCCGTCAGTGGTAACCGCGCGATTTTGAGTTGCAGCATAAGTAAGAACGCGGCGCACGTGCATTCCATTGATAAATGTTGACGAGTTGAATGTCAGTTTCCATTTTTAGATATTTTCTATGGATGGCAAAGCACGGCTGAATTTACCACCACCAATTCGTCGTCGTGAGAACGAAATCGAGGAGGACGACGAAGGCCTGATGATGGTGTCACGAGGTGGTCGAGTGTTCCATAACATTTCGATCTAGTGGCAGCACTTCGACAGTGCTTTGCCCGAGTCCTTCTTGCTTCAACGTGACGACACGTCTTCCTTGCGGAAACTATTGCTGGTATTTGATGTTCTGCCGTGCCAAAATGTCTTTTCATCATATTTTATCGAATGTTTGCGAATTATCCATTTCTGATCGCTCCCTTTCATCTTTGATAATTCATCTTCTCCGAAAAATTGTTGCCATTCCTAATCTATTTTTTCGTTTCCCCATTGCTTTTTCATCCTTTTCCTTACGCATCCGACAGTTCAGGTATTACGCATGTGTATCGATAGAACTTTTCTTTCTGCTCAACGATAACTTGTAAAGTGTGCTTGCAAGTGCAATGTTGTGTGTAGTAGGTCTGTTTGTGTGCTCGTAAGCGTTCACGCGTTGCGTATCAAGCTTTATTCACCCACCCCCCACCTGTCGTGTACAAAAATTGAAAGTGTCCGATCCGGTTCTGAAACGATCCCCCCAGCGCCCTGTCTTGTCTCCATGTTTTCTCTTCTGTAGAGTTTCTTTGAAGAGCTCAACGACCCGCCTCTCTCAGAACCATTTTCTAGGTTCAAAGTAGTTTTTTTTTCAAGAACGGGCAGTCATCGATCTCTTCTTGAAGTGGTCTATTGATCGTTCGATAGTGAATAGTTAGTTGCTTAGGCTGCGTTCATACTTTGCGGCAGCGTCTATCAGCAACCACCGGCGTTTCGAGCGTCCGTCAGAGTCAGCGACCAGGAAAGTATAGATATCGATTAGGCGGACTTCTGCGGCCACCCATGTCAAGGACTAGAGTGTACGGAAGTAGGGGTAGCAGACTGCTAGTAGAGTATGGGGAAGTAGTAGGGAGCAGAAAGCTGGATTAGGCGTCGTGAAATTGCGGCGTGTGCAACCGCACCGTACAACTGCTAGCATAAGAAGGTGCAATTCAATGTACGGTATTGTGCAGTAGCACGGTGCGGTTACACACGCGGTAATTCCACGACGCCTAATCCAGCTGTCTGCTCCCTCCTACTTCCCCATGTTCTACCAGCAGGTTGCTACACTCCTACTTCCCCACACTCTCTACTGCTGGACGCTGAGAGACGCTGGTAGACGCTGCCATTCGCTAAATCGATATCTATGCTTTCTTAGTTGCTGACGCTGACGGACCTTGGAAGCGCTGGTGGTCGCTGGTTGACGCTGCCACAGAGTATGAACGCAGCCTCATGGATCGATGACCGTTTCAATATTTAATGTTAAGTTTTATGCCTTTTCAAATGTGTAATGCGTACAGAGATCTCTTTACGATTTTCATCTGGTATTGATTGATTGATTGATTTTTTTGTATAGATATGTATTAGGTACAGCTTGTATACCATGCGATGTAAGGCATCATGAGATTGTAGTCGATTATTAAAGTGAATATCATCGTTCTGTGGTTGGAGGAATTGAGCCTCTCATCGAGCCTGATCCTCCCTGAGCTCACGCACAGAATCTGGACCTATGTCGTCGCCATAGAGTGCTGTGTAATTCTATTCGGTTTATCGATTGATCCGGTGGGTAGTTGTGTTAATAATGATGATTATGATTACTGCTGTTTCACGACATGACTCTCACGTCTCCGAAATATAGCACGATCTGTGTCATAGCAATTTAATATATTTTCTTGTTTCATGTTTTGTTACAGTAATAAAAATAATAATTATTGTTGTCAATGTTGATGGTGATGAGAATGATGTGTCAGATCTACAGTCGTAATCCCTGCAAACAATAGGGCGTGTGACGGGGCGTGGCCTGGGACGTATCCGGACAGGTTCTCACCAATCGCAGCCGCCTTGGCGGGATATCTTTGGTGGAGAAGGCCACTCTGGCTGCTCTCCAAGCCGCGCCGCGTCACGAACCTTATCTATTTGCGGAGATCATGATTGTAGCTGAGAGAAAAGAGGGGCTGATTGTAGATCGACTAGCCCTCGCAGTCAAGCCATGGGCCAAATCGCATTCGAAATTGCAACTCAGCATTGAATTAGAATGTGTGGCGCATCCCAGGGAGGGAGTGATGGCGTCGAAACCAAATCAATTGTTTGTCTTTCTGGTGTGGCACTGTACCTGAAGACATACTGCTCACTCACTCCCGCGAGCGGTTATTTTGATAGCGTTCAGACTTCGCAATGAAGCGCTGCAACGCGCTGTAGCCCGGTGGACGCATTAATCAATATGCAACTCTTCCCGACGGATTTTGTTGATAAACTGGTCTGCGGTAGCATATGCAGCCGTAGGTACAAGAAGCCGACCTGCAACTGTGCGTGTGCGCGTTACAGCGCCTTCCAGCACGTCGACGCGAACGCTGCCTTCTGTGTACGAAATGAATGGGTTCGCAGCTGCAACCGCTACCACTTTCTCCGCTTAAAAATGCACGGGGCGAGTCTGAAAGGTACTGAAACCCGGGTACGGTTCCATGTCCGGGCTCAACCCGCGCCGCCAAGGTGCAACATTTGCGTCGCTACCAAAATCGCGCAGCGAATGCTCAGCCAGAGGTAGAGAACAACAAGAAAAGAGAGGGCGCAGGCAAATAGCGCGTTCGGCCATGCTTCTGAGTGTGGCAGGTCGTGCGGCATCGCATGCGTTGTCGTAGACGGCACCCGGGTATCATTACAATTGCGATTCCGGGCGGAGAAAGTGGCATGCCACTGCAGCTGTAAACCCATTCACCTCGCTCATGGCAAGGATCAGAATACACGAGAGCGAGTGTGCAGTTTGCTCTTAACTACAGAGCTTTGATTGCAGGGATCTGAGCGCTGCACATGCCCTACGCCTATGGAGGGGCAACATTACTTGGCAAGTTAGCGTATATGCCAAATGGCGCCATCATCACCGGCATGGTTTTAGGATTAAGCTTGGGGTCACGACTCGCAAGAGCTAGCCTTCCGTTTATTCTGGAGCTAGTTGACAGCTAGCCTGGGAGGTAGGGACTAATTGTAAGGCTAGGAAGAATCCGAAAGAAACTGTTTTGAATGGCTCGAGTATAGGCCATCTACCAAAAAAAAAGAAAAAAAAGAAAAGAAAAAAAGACTGATTGTGAGTGGAAGGTAAATGCGCTGTGCATCCTGAACGTGTTGATGTCCAAGAGATGACTTATTCGGCGAGGCGGGTCTTATTCAGGGCATTTCCGATTTATTCTGCTTTTTTGTTTACTGTTATCTTGCAGTTCAGTGTGGCTCTCAAACTTGCATCCCAGTACATACGATTTTTAACAGCGGAACATACCTTTTAGGGGGTAGAAAATGAATAGCTCCAACTTATTTTGTGCTTCGGTATAAACGGTCCCACCATTTATTAGCCATCTTTGTATTATTATTACGGTAGCTCAGTGTTTGTTGTTTACAGCGAATAGGGGTTAAGCAAGGGTAAAAGCAACGTGAGAAAAGAGAGATCTTTGGAAGTCATCGTCGTCGCATGAGCCATTTCCACGGCTTTGAAAAGGCACCGTCGGCGAGCGATGGATGGAGCTCAACGCTTGATAGTTAATGTCTGGATTGTTTTCCCGCAGCCATTCTAGAGGCGTAACGATTGTCACGCTTCAGTCGAGTTGGCCTGAAAGTGCGGCAGTAAAGAATTGTGTCTATTTGTTATACTTCATAAGGTTGAAATACGGTAGCGATTTTTTCGTCTGCTTCCATCGCAGTCGTATCAGGGGTCTACGGACAACTCTAACTTAATCCCTCTAATCCAGGCAACCTTCTCTTTCTCTTTGCGCTCTCACGCCTGGAGTCATTTCGTGACCATTGTTACCTTACATATTCCAGTTTTTCAGACGTAATAAGTGGCTCATCCACATTGGAGCCCCCTGCTCTGAAGAGTTTGTACCCTGGATTGCAAACATTATTTCTGTACTCTCATTTCTTAGCGCTCGGCCAATCCCCTCTTGTCTCCGGCGCGTGACTTTCGCGCTAGGACTCCCAAAGTTTTAGTTCGGTCACGTAAGCCCATATTCAGGAATGTACCTTGCGCGGGAACAGTACCTCCTTCATCCTTGCTCCTGCTATTTTTCGAGTTTTTCGTTTTTTCTTTTTATACACTTTCTCTTTTTGCTGTTTTCGCCTACAAAAAAAAACAGCGGTCATCCGGGGTACTCATTTCAACTCCGAAAATAGTAGTTGTATAGGATCCTGGCAGCGCCGCCAACTAAATCAACAACCTAAGGAATTCTCCCGCACTCTAAAAATTTCCGCCAGGACCAAACACGATCCCGTCAAAATACAAAACCCCCCCCTCTCTTCGAGCGAGTACGCCTTTTTCTCATTCTCTTTAACCATGCAAAATCCTGTTTGCAGGCGCTTGTTGAACCGGTTCTGCCATAGTAAGAGGTAGATCCACAGCCGTGCCTCCATGCTCATCGTGCACTTGCAGCCGGTTGCGCCGATAGGGTACCGTGGGAAGACCCCTCCCGAAACACATTGGAGAACCAGATATTGTGCTACGTCCTCAGGCGGATGGGCAGCTGAAATGGTCTTACAAGAGATTACCGGCATTTATCGGGTGGGAAATCGATAGCGAAATGGATACCGAATTCCTTTTTCCATTCTGCTACCATTCTGAAGTTTCAAGATTCAACATGCCTATTTGCGCGACACTTATTTCTGGATGAAGATACCGGACGAGCAGATATTGAGTTGAACGGCCGGAATAGCATGAACGATGAAGTGGCGACGGTTCGTCGTCGCCTCTTCGTGGGTGTATGTCGTTTGACACGTTTGGCGCGATGTCGCCGAGGCGAAGTGATTGCGCCAAACGATTCGTCCGAAAATTTGAGGACTCAAGGCTCGTCTCAGCGATGTGTCAGCGGTCGGGAGCCACGAGAAATGAGGCACAACATTCACGGCTTTACATGACTTCCAGCTACGAAAACCTCAGAGGTAATAATCTGGACGAGTTGTCCAACTTGGTAGAAGAGTACACTGAATGTCAAGGAAGTATCAAAGGCACACGCCAAATAAGCGTCTCCCGGTGGTTCTCCCTTTTGA